AAAGAAGAAGAAATGATGAAAATATACCCATTGTCAACCTTAGTGGATCAACAACGATAGAAAAAGACCAAGGCGTGAAGCAACTTATAAAGACTCATCATTGGCATTCACCAGAGAAACTTTTATCCCTTGAAAATATATCATCATCAACTTAAAATACCAGGTGCACAAACTGCATCATGAACAAAAATTCCACATAAATAAGTAGCCAAGTCAAGCTGACTAAAGCCTACACCAGGAAATTGCATATAGATAGTTATATGCACAAGTTTGCAATACCGATCGCACAACACGTACAATACAGCAACAAAACCCACAACAAAAGAGGGATTGAGTACACTGACATGTCCCTAATCAGATGCACATTTATTAAGTACCATTGGAGGGGGGCGAGGATTCCTTGATGTCCATTTCCTTGACCCCAGCGGTTATCGATGAGGACGACTCAGTTGGACCGTTTGCCTTCTCATGTTCGGTATCCAAATCTGACTCATCATCTTCTACGAGGGAACCCTTGCGACGTAGTTCTTTAACCTTGCGGAACTCATCATAATGAGCTTTTCTGTGCTCCCGGAAGCTCTTGCGCCTCTCGCATTCAGAACCTGGAGCTTTAGATTTAATGTCAGATTCAAAAACTACCTATGAATTTTACAACATTAAGGGAGTGTTGGTGCTAGCAAATTTAACCCTTTTTCTTTTGTAAGGATACTTACCAAAGACCTTAGGTTTTGGCTAATAACAAAATACTAGAAAATCTTGTGGGAGTTTGTGTTACAAGTGATACTGTACGGCCAACTTTATTCCTTTCATGTGCAAAAGCATTTCCAACCACGAATACAATTTGCAAATTATTAAAGCTACCCACACACCAGCTAAAGTTTCAGATAAAACCAATCATCGGAGGGATTCTGTGTGATTTCCAGAAACTTACTTGTTTTTCAGTAGACTTAAATCTGTAATCAGGGTAGACTTAAGGGACAGTTTGCAAATATACAGTTTGTTTTTCATGATAAATTAAATCAGAATTCTCCAACTTACTTAATCATTGCAATTCTTTGGTTATCTAATGTACACTTAATATACAATACTTGTTTTAGCTTTTACAGCGGATAATATACAGCAAAAAACTCTGATTAATGACGGTCATCTCATCATTACGTTAGGGGGCATCTTGTACATAGCCTTTTCTGTAATCAGGCTAGACTTAAGGAACAGTTTTCCTATAGCTATCCTCTAAATGAGGCAGCAAACATTGATCATATAGCACAGTTTGATCTGATCATATAGCGCAGGAAGTCTGTAATCTAGAGAATCACTATGGAACAGATGCATATTTGAAAAATAAAAACAATATAAAAGAACTAGAAACATAACCTTCTCCATCATGATCCATAGTATCCATGTCATCCTCAGAGGACGTCCAGCCCGAGATATGCACAACATTTTTGCTAGAGGAACCTACATCATTCAGTGCCGTACGTATAGCTTCTGCATGCATTGCATCTTCAAAAGTATTTCCAAAATTTCCTCTTCTGCCAGGTGATGACGTTTCTACATTCATTTAAGAAACTAATTACTTTTGAACCACGGTACATTCCAAATAAGTAACTATTTTATTCAACTAAATTTGGAAAAGGGTTTTTCAATTCTCCAACATCATATAAAATAGAAGTGAAATATCCAGGTGCCAAATTATATGGACTTTTTAGCAAAATGATAATGATAGTAACAATACTAACAAATATAGTTACATTACAATAATAAGTTAACAAAACACAGTTAGCTAAACATCGTTCAGAGAGTTAAAAATTTGCAAGAAAGAGATTCCAATGCTATTCTCAAATTCATATCAGACCAATACAGCTATACCAATCTCAAATATCATAGAGTCAGAGCTATGCCATTGTAACTGAAGAAAAAATAAATAAATAAGTAAATTATATCATCATCCTGGAATAGTCACAAAGTATCAAAATGATGTTTCATCATCATTTTTTCTCAAATTCATCACGAATCATAATATATCCAGAAAGCTTCAGCGATGTCGAATAAAAACACAATACATACCGTCATCCTCATCATCAACATCAATCATGGGATGGTACGGTGTCTTTGGTTCAGTTATTTTCTGCCTCACAGGTTTATTTGCCTCAATTTCAGCTAAATTAGCTTCATCCCATTTCACTGGTGCCCTAGAACCACAAAAAAAGTGCCACCATAACCAAAAAAAATTGTATCAGAACCCAACAAACAACATAAAAAAGTTCTTAGCATGCACGTTCGCCAAAACAAAAGCGATCCCATTTCATATATCAATCTAAATCAACAACACAGAATGAAGATGATAGCATAGCTGTAGAGGCCCATGATTCTTCTGGTAAAGTACATATTTCAATTTAATTAGAACGGTAAGATATTAATCCTACATTTGTGACCGTTCGTATTCGTTGATCTTAAGCCCTTAGTATCAGTGCCAGCCACGATTGTGACGTGCCGGTGACCCGCGCCCACGGATCTGGCTGAGAGTCGTCGTCGGTCCTCCGTCCCTCGGATCTACGCGGCTGTTGAGGTGATGAAATATATATATAGTGAAAGCGGTGCTGTTATTTATGTGGGTGTACAAAAGAAGAGAAATTGGATGAAGAAGAAAAGGAGAAGGAACTGGAAAGGTGAATTGGGAATTTCTTTTCTTTGCGAGGAAAAAGAACAAACTGAAAAAATAATAATATAAAAAATATAAAAAAGAAAAAAAAAAATAAAATAATGAGAGAGGAGGTAGGTGACTGGTGGGTTTTTTTTTAGAAACCATATAAATTTTATATAGGCTTTGTTTGGCGATCAGCGGATAGCGCATTGTATTAGCAGATATCGGATAGCGGATTATATTAACTGATTTGACCAGCGAATTGCATTAGCGGTTATTAAATAAGTGTCTGGTAAATAAGTGAAAACTTATAGCTGTTTGACATTGCAAATTACTAATAAGGACACTTTTATTATTTAGGGTGTATTCTTTTAATAATAATATATTAAAACATTCAATATTCTTTAGTTGGTAATTTATAAATATATTAATTTTATTTTTTAAATTTACTAACACTTGATTAAGAAGTTATAAATTTTATATTTTTCTAGATAAATTAATCATATGGATTACATATTATTATTTATTAGCACCATAAGCCAATATAAATTGTAAAATAAAAAATACAAATTAAAAAGTTCCAAATTAAAATAGTAGATTGTGAATCCTCTATCCCAAAAAGCTCCACTAATGAGCTTTTTCTAAATTAGAGTTTTTGGCCCAAAAAGCTTATCAAATAAGCTATTTACCAAAAAAGCTCAATAGCGAATTTGACGAGTCAAACCTCTCAATTAAGTCCAATCCGCTAATTTATCTTCAATCCGCTATCTTCCAAACGGGGCCATAATTAAAACCACGTAATTACAGCTAGCAAACAGTAAGAATAGTAAACACCCACACAGCTGAATTCTGGAGGCCTACACGAATGTAACCTAGAAGCAACTAACGCACCCACAATAAAACAAACTATACTGCTCCCAACATGAGAATAACACGCTCCTAACAAGAGAATACACGCTTCCAAGAGGAGAATAACACGCTCCCAACAGGAGAATGCACGCTCACAAATAAAAGAATACACGCTCACAAACAGAAGAAACAACAACTAAAACACAAAACAAACTACCCACGTTGAACAACACACACAAACAACACGAAAAGGAAAAAGAAAAAAAAATAACAAAGCCCTCTGCAACCATCCACAACCAACCGAGAACTACCAAACGACACAGATCCTGTGAAGATGACATTTTTGTGGATTTTAGTGTTCCTGTGTCCGACGGAGATGACTTCCAATAAAAGGCTCCCAGAATGGGCAAGGTGGACTTGATCTAAGGGCACGACTGGCTATATCCTATGAGATAAGCACCCGACAAACTGCCCCTACACAAGTAAGGGGCTAGAATTTCTATAGTTCACTTCAGGCTCAAGCGTCGCATTCGCTAACTCGCGCAAGGGATTCATTTGATACTGTAGATAGAAGAATGTCTTTCCTAGAAGCAAAATTTTCATAATGGTGTCATCAAATGGCACTGCACAAAAACTAAAAGAAATTAAGATGAATTAATAAAGCAGTTCCCCTATGTTGCAAAGATATTGTCGTTCCAACAGTTGTAGGGGGGTCAGCCACAAAATTACAAGAGAAAAAAACAAAGAAGTTACACATATTTCTGTGGGAATAAAAGATATAAGTCATCATGGAGACCTAGAATGTTTTGGTCAAAACAAAGGTCAAAGAGTTTAATTTCAGGGAAAGACCATTTCCTAGTAGAAGTATAGCCTCATCCATAGGTTCGAATCAACAAAATGTTGGCAGAAATCAATTGAGAAGAACTTTCACAAGGACTCATTCAAGAGCTAATGAAAGTTCTATAGAATGTGATTGTTGGACTTGTGGAGCCAAGAGGCGCATTATCACGGACTGCCCGAATAACCAAAGAAGAGGTATAAGATAATTTGAAGCTACACCAGAATTTGTTGACTATCAAGATTTGGTACAAGTATATCAATTTGGGGAAACACCCTCTGGTGAAAGTACTTATGAAGAGGAAAAAGTTTGTTATGAGTATAGAAGTGAGTCAAGCTCAGAATCAGAATAACGGAGAATTTTTCCAATAAATTATAAAAGAAGACATGTCCACGTTTCTTTCTCATACAACAATCTTCCATAAAACTTTTATGAATATTGTGTAAGAAGATTCAAAACTCCATATGTATGATAGATTTATTATTTGAGTAATGGAAAAGGCCATGGATAAAATGGGGTTGAGAAGTAGAAACCATCACATCATTCATAGGGTCTCAACTGGGGAATTTGCCATTCAATGAAGTATACAGGGCATCAAATAGAGATGAAACTTATTCCCTATAAAGAAATTCAAGAGATCAAAAGTGGTCTCAAAATAGAGTTGGCTACTATCCTTTCATTGATCCATATTGGAGCCTTTAGAGTTATAATAAATTCAACCTTTAAAAAAAGAATATGATTCGTCTACTTGGCAATATTTGACAAAAGAATTTCCAACCTAAAAGACTGATGTCTTGGGGATATTACGAGAAATCTTTATGAAGGAAAATTAGCTTACAATGTGTACCCAATGATTGCATACAATTTAGGTGCTCGAGATTGAAACAAAGTTCTTACCCTTCATCAAGATTTTAAAAGAACAAGTTCATGAAAGAAGGTAATACACCTTGCTCGATTACGCACAAGATTTTGTAGGCTTAATCGAAATATCAACATTCTCAAGATGAACAACTAACTCCATAAGTTTATATGATTTTCATTCTCTCGTAAGATCATATCAACCTCTCGGTCTGTTTATACTATTACGTCATAAATTTACCGATTCTAGCAATCAATTATCACTTCTCGGTCTCAAATCCATCACAAATATGCATTCATTGTGGCCAGACTCATATAATAAAAATAAACACAAGAAATTCATAAACAAAAGATAAACCAGGATGAAATCAATAAAAAACTATATCATAACTCAATCCGAGTACTAGTAAATCCTAGAATCGAAGATAAATTTAACCTAAAAACATGCTTCTAAAATTTGAAAAATAAATATAAACATTTTGTACGAAAGGGAAAAGAAAAAGAAACAAAAAACTTATTCGGCTTCGTTGATCTCTTTTCTCCAGCTTTCTCGCTCGTCTTGGGTGTATTCCTAGCCTCCTAAACTCCCAAAGCTCTGAAAAGCCCTTAAAAACTCTCCAAAACTCGTGCCCTAGTGATTCTTGTATAGTTTGTTCGAGTCCTAATCGAAATAGATCGAAAAAACCTATCTAAAATATAATAAAAAATGCGTAAAATTCATTTTTCTCATTCCCAGGCCCACACGAGTGGTGTGGAATGTCATACTAGTCGTGTGAAAAGGTCGAGAGGTCATTTCAAAACGTTTGGAATGACACAACTCGTGTCACACGTCACACTATTCGTGCATATGTTGGTTGTGGAAACTTCATTTTCTCATTGACTTTTTGGCTCTTGGTATGCTCTATGGAGAAATGACGGCGGCATGGGCTGGCTCTGTGGTCTCCGTGTTCAGAAGTTTCCTAGGTGCTGCACATGTCAGATTCCAGCAGCTTCTGACCGCGCAACATCTTCTCAAACGTAAACATGACCGGTCTAAGGAGTTCAAAATTCAAGTTGGAGGCGGTAGGTTCTACGATCTGAGCAGCAATGTGGCGGCCAACGTGAGGTGGTCGGGCATCCCGGTGAAGTGGTCGGACATCTGACTGAAGAGAAAAGAAAGGACAATTCACGTAATAAAGATAGTTATCTACTTTTTGCATTGCGAAATTAATTTTGTGCCCCTCATTAAAAGTTTAATTATGTTGGATCAACTTCATATTGACTTGGTGTATGAATTCATGGCCCAACACAACATAAATTAAGTTGAATATCCCTTCTACAAGCTAGCCATGTAAATAGCCCATTCTCGACCTTCAACAATAAAACACAAAATAAAACAGAAGTTGGCTATGTAAATAGCCCAATCACGCCGTTTCATCTCCAATAATTATTTCTATCCTATTTCTTGTGAAAACTCAAAATAAAACACATTCTTCATAGCTTAATAAAATTAATTAAATATATAGAAATATATATTAAACAAACACTAAACGGACACGAAAATCACTCTAAAATGCACGTAAAAATGACGCATGTCACTGGTAATATTCAATTAATGTTATGTGTTTTTTAGAATAAACACATGATTTGAGAAACTAGATACTGCTAATAAACAAAGTAAGCACTACTAACTTATTAAAGAGGTACGATTATCAATACATAGGTAGTATTGCGTTTTCTGAACTGAAAAGAAGGGCATTTTCAGAATAATAAATGAGCAATATTTTATAAAAAATGGGAAGGAGTCTAGCGGAAGAAAAATATTTGTAGGGACTGACCATGAAGTTGAAAAGAGGATTGAGGAGCGAGAAGGAAGTATCGCTTGGTAAAATATGTAATTGATTTTTTTTTTCTATTGTTTGCATATGTTTTCGTTGGGTATTTGATATTTAATGTTGAAACTTACAAATATATGTAACACTTTTTAATAATCTAGCTAAGTTATTTATTTTTATTATATAATTTTTCAATTATTTATTTTTTGCCGGCCCACTCCGCATCGCAGTAGACCGCAGTCTGCGCAGGCTGGCCGCTATAGGCCCGCTCCATTGCCAGATCTATAAAAATAGAGTCCTCCATGTCCTTTGGTGGGACAGTGGTGGATTGGCCCATGGGCTTTGGCCCGTTTTGACGGCTTTAGGTTTGACCCGCTCCAAATGCATTAATGCAAGTTGTGCTCACATTGCCATCCATAGTGGGGAATTGGAGAAGTTGGAAATACGAAATTTTGAAGAATCTTTGTTTACTCCTCAACTCCTTCAATGTGCTGAAGCTCAACAAAATCTACGACGGTTCCCTGCTCTTCACTTGAACTCCAACAATGTCGACGACAACCTTGGCTTCATCAGCATCACAGATTCGAAGGTGTAATTTGCGCTGAAACCTTCCAATTGATTTGGGTAAATATCATATCTGGTCGAGTTTTGTCCCGGGCTCCTATCATACTAAGAAAGAAGGAATTTGCACTTAGGGGTGTAAACAAGTCGAGTTGAGCTCGAGCTCATGTTGCTCGAGCTCGAGCCCCTGACGAGCCGAGCTCGGCTCGATTCGTTAACTTAACGAGCTTGCAATTGAGCTCAAGTTTGACTCGTTCTTCTATATTAACAAGTCGAGTAAACGTTAACGAGCCAAAATAGAGTCGGACTATAGAAAATTACCTAAAAATCATCTTTTGGGCCTTATCGAGTCGTGCTTGTCTGTTGACTGGACGAGCTTTAAATGAACTCGAACTCTAGTTGTTTGTCTAACGAGCCGAGTCGAGCTCGAGGCCAGAAGAGACGAGATAAGTCGAGCTCACAAACGGCTCGGTTAATTTAATGGTTCTAGCTGTGCTTATTCCACATCATCCATCAAACCAATCGGAACGGAAAAACAGAAATTTGGGGTCAATAGATCCAGTTTAACGAAATAAATATACAAGGGAAAATCACAAGCACCTTTCGGGAAGCCTTGAATTCACTCTTCCGAATACTCCATCCCATACGCAGAGGTACGTGAATTCACATTTCTTCACCAATTTATCTCTGTTACTTGATTGCTTTGTGAATTAGGCGGCTGGAGTTTGCTGCCTTTCGCCATTTTTTTCTTGATCCGTCGTTAATATCGATTTTGGTCGCATCCTTAATGATGGAACAAATGGATTTGCTTACCTCGTTTTTGTTGAAGTTGAGATCTCAGTGATCAATGTGATGCGGTGCAATAAACTACCAGTTTGATTCGAGTTTTTGCATATGAGATTTTGATTTATTTACTCCTTTAGGTTTCCGGTTGATGCTTACTGAGTTTTGAGAAATGTCATTTGGGGGGTTTGTGGTAAAGTGTTCATAAACTACCAGTGGTTTTTCTTTTTTGGGTTCTTTCTAGGCTTAACAACATTCCAGTTGCCGTATGGTAAAATAACCGAGGTGATCAATGTCTGATTGTTCTGGTAATGTAAGGAGAATAGCGATATGAGACACGTAAATGTTACGGTCATTTTATCTGACATTTAATTCTGGCATTTAGCCATTTTCATGTAGGGTGCAATAATCCGAGAATTAAAATAATCAATTGGAAAGGTTTCAGTTTTGGTTATGCTTATATTGTTGATGCCTATTTCTCGCAACTTAGTTCTTGTTTACTGGCTGTCGCTTAAATGCCGAAGAAAGATAATACTAATTTTTATCCTGTACTGTTAATAGTTGGAATTATGTATGTTATGGCCAGAAGTATTATTTCATGTGGTGAATTGGTTTGATTAACTGTGGCATTCTTTTGTTTTGTATTTTTCTTTAACAAGTATTTGTTTATGGTCGTTTATATAGTTGCAAGATATTGAAATTCTAATTTCTTGCTGTGTTGAAGATACAAGAGAAAAATCAGGATGTTTTCTTTGTTTTACGGACTATGGAAGTACATGCTGAGCAAGGTTGAGTTTCACGTACTTATTCTTGGAATCGACAAGGCTGGCAAAACAGTAATTTTCTCATCTATTTTACTACTGTCTTGGCATAGTACTTTCACTTGTTTTAATATATATTCATAGTTAGTTCTATTTTAGCGCATGAATGCTTGAACTTTCAGAATATGTTGGAACTGTTATACCTTTTGATAATTACTTGATAGGTTTACACATTTAAGTGTGATGAGTATAGGATGGGACTCCTACGACTCGAAGTGGATAGGCATGTATTTTGAGAAAACATATCTGATAACACCATGGACACCTTGTGACGACACTACTAATACTTGAGCTGAAGCAAATTTAGCTGATGTTGGACTGCTCACTGATTTTCTTGTATATTTAAAAGAAATTAAATTAAGCTTTGCAATATTAGCCGTGCCGGGTCATGTTGTGGAAACTCTCGAAAGTTAGGACTTATATATCCTCCTGAAAATTCTCAATTTTCATTCTACTAAAGCAGGTTCAATCATTTTTCTTGCGTTTGCTTGATAGACATTGAAACATCATAGTGGAATTACTGTTTCCTATTGACTTCTATTCCCATTCTTTTTATGATTTTTTTTCTTCTTCTTAAGATTTTTATATATCCAAAACCAAGGATGCAAACGTGTGCTATTTACTCAGAATCTTTATTTGAGCAGATTTTTAATATTAATTTGTAGACATTACTGGAGAAATTGAAGTCACAGTACTCCAATATGGAAGGCCTCCCTCCTGATAAAATTGTTCCAACTGTGGGACTCAATATTGGCCGTGTAGAAGTGTCAAACACGAAACTCATATTCTGGGACCTGGGAGGTCAGGTTTGAAATGCACTCTTCTTTTCTTTCTAATTGATAACATGACTGGTTAGTTTCTTTGTTCCTTTGGTGGATTCATTGTTATGGAAGTGCAAAACCCACCATGGAGGTTAGGTTCATTTGAAAAAACATTATGTAATCGATTTTGTTGTATTTCTTTTGTAAATAATCTCAGCAGATTGCAACTTGTGTAGCACAAATGTCGGGGATTATTTGTGAATGTGAATGTGAATGATGGAATTGTTAGATTTTTCTTGTGTGTGTGTGTATGTGAGTCATTAGGCTAAGTATGACTGGTTGTAGTTATTCCTTTGTATTATACAAGTTGATTCCTTCATGTCGAAAATGTAGAATATACAATTTTCCGTTATCTTTTGATGTCTGATTTGAAGTTTCCGAGCTAATATTATGTTAGTCCTCTTATATGGACTTTGTTTTATTCTTTTTCCTTTTCTAATTTGAGAAATTTTACGTTGATGATTTTTTTTTTTTTTTCAGCCTGGTCTTCGCTCCATTTGGGAAAAATATTATGAAGAGGCACATGCTGTGATTTATGTAATTGACGCTGCTTGTCCATCTCGTTTTGAAGATTCAAAGTCTGCTCTTGGTAAAAACTGTGGGGAATAAGTAAACTTCATATTTTTACGACGCTTTTCAAAAGTTAGCCTAAGCTTAAAACTCTCTCGCAGAGAAAGTTCTTCGGCATGAGGATTTACAAGGAGCTCCTCTTCTGATTTTAGCAAACAAGCAGGTTAGCAAAATTCATTCTGTTGCATACAATGACCCTCTATACATATTAGTTGTTTTAGGCTTCTCATGCTGCACTTCTAAGACATGAAAGTGATTTTAATTTCCCAGTGTTAGCTGCTTAAAAACGTTTTCACTTATAAAATTCACCTCCTTATGCAATGTGGTAGTGAAATATTGATTCACAGGGAGATTTCTGTTTAATCATATATTATTACACAAATACCTTGAGGTTCGGCTTAATCTAAAAACACAAGGCAAAAGAAAAAAAAAAAAATGTTTATAATAATAATGAAGATTTCGTTTTTGGTAATTTAGCATATCGGCTCAAAGGTGGATTTTGTAGTGTACCATCTTTTTACCTGCCAATTTCCAGTAAAGCAGTAAATACAAAAGTTACTGAAAATGGTTACTATGCCACTTGATGACTTGCCAAATAAATGGATGCCGCAGGACCTTGAAGATGCTGTGTCGGTCGATGAACTCTCTCAATATTTGGACCTCAAGAAACTTGACGAGAGAGTTTATACGTTCCAAGCTGTTTCAGCTATCGATGGGTAAGCACATTCTTCTCTAAATGCCCCTTCTTTGGACAATTAATTGTGTTGTCCGAGGTTAAATGAATATTACCATGCCCCACCGATAGGGCGATATCTATCCAAATCAACATGATGAATTTGAATTTTACGACAGACTCGGGATTAAAGAAAGTGTTAATTGGCTGGTGGATTCTATGGAAAGAAGTAAGAGAACGGATATGCTGAGAGTTCGTGCAGGTTCAAGTGTCGTCTAAATTGTGAAAATACCCACAAGAATATGCTTTCGTTCGTAATTTCCCGACACCAGATGTGGTGATATTATTTTCCTTGAAGATTTGTGTCTGACAAATTTAAAATAGTTTGATTATATGGTGAAGCATGAAAGTGTGTTTGTAAACCAAATATCTCAATCGCAAATTAATTCATACTCAAAATCTAACTCAACATTTAAGTCAATCCCACTATCTTCAATATTTTATCAATATAATTAACTATAACCAATCATTTTTACAAATTATATCACCTTTAGTTTACTATTTATCCACTCACATAACTTTAACTAACCATCACTTCATGTCATGTATCTCCTATTTTTACATCAAATTAATTTTAATTATTTTACTTAAATATTATTTTAATATAAACTTAAATCTCACTAAGTGAACTAAATAAAACTCACTTTGAGGGAATTTATTGATTTACAAACACAACCGAAGAATCTTGAGAGACAGTCCAGCCCATTGTTTGGGGTCGAAATTATAGGCTCAATCCAACCACAGACATACAACTCGTCGAAAACCACCTAGTGAGTAGTGACATGTATATTTACCAATTGGCATAATTACATACAAGTTGAGTACAGAACTCGTTTATTATACAGAATGCTAATAATTTTTTTTTTCATACTTTTTCTTAAAAATTATAAAAAAAAATATATATATGTTGTTTCAATATCAAATAATTGTTAGGAAAATTATATTATTATTTATATTTAAAATACATTCTTGTACGTCTACCTCTTCAACATTATAATAACTTTTTTAATTCGTATTGTATAGTTCACTTGATAAATTGTTTTATTATTTTTAACTATTGTTACAAATTAATTTAATTATTATTGGTGTACGTGTGTATATATATATATATATTGTTATAAATTAATTTAATTATTATTGTGATGTACGTATATATATTGTTGGGATCATATGAGAATGGTAGATAGTGAAAGAAATAAGAATGAATATTGATCATGTGATCAATCATATCAATGGTTAAGATGAAGTCAAAATATGGTCAATTATTAATGGCATTATAGTAATTATTTGACATAGTGAGTCAAATATGTGCATTTGACCAATAATTAAGAATAAATTTGTCAATACACATATATTTAAAGTGGGACCCACTCACCATGTAAATATCTATTCTCTCTCATAAATCACCCTCATTTCTCTCCTCCTCACGAGTTGCAGACAAACACACACAGCCTCCAGCCTCCGCCTTCCTCCGCCGTGCATCCGCCGTGCCTCCGCCGCCAGCCGCCATCCGCCAACCACGACGCAGGAGATGAGGGTCGTGTATTCGTCGCCCGCCGCCAGCCTCGACGCTGGAGATTAAGGCCGTGTTTCTGCCGCCCGCCGCCAATCACGACGCAGGAGACGACGGCGTGCCTCCGTCGTACATCGACAACCAGTCTCGTCGGCATCTTCCCGCTGATATTCTCAGATCCGATCGTCGTTGGCCGCATCGAGCTCATCTGAGGTGGTGCCGCTCCCGCATCCTCTCCCTCATGAGATGCCAGAGAGTGGACCTACGAGGTAGAAGCAGACGGCTCGCTGCTCCTTCCAGAGCGTAAGGAATTTCAGCGACGAGCAATTGTCGCCGGAATACACGGTGCCGCTGGCTTGGGTGATTGGGGACGTTTTAATGTTTATGTGATTTACGGCTGAGCTCGGTCCACGTCGCTGCGGGGGGGATGGTGGCGGTGGGGGCAGCAGACGGCGAATCCGGCGGTGTGGCGGTGTTGCCAGCGAACGGATCTGAGAGGAAGCAACGAATCTGAGAAGGAATGGTGATTTTGGAGGAAATTAGTTCAAATAGCCCATTCTACAATACATATTGTGTAAATAACCCTTGACCAAACATTCATATAAAACATAATTCAAAAACTCATAAAAATAGGGAAAAAGACATTTATACCCTTAAAGCATTAATCCATATAAAACATAACTCAAAAATCCATAAAAAGAGGGAAAATGACATTTATACCCTTAAAGCCTATTTTTAAAGAAAAAACTCTAAAAAATCATCAAAAAATAAGATAAAAATGCTTAAATTCCAAATATTTGGAAAATGAATAGAATAAATAATACTCTTATTTGGGAAAATATTGAAAAAATGTGAAATAATCAGAAATTAATTCTTGAAAGACTCAAAAAAACAAGTAGAAATATCGAATTTCTTGATACTTTACTGTCAGAAATTCTTGATATTGCAGCAAAAGCTGACAAAATTATTGAAAATAATAACAAAATAAACGTAAATAGGTTAGAAGAAACCTTAATAAAACTAGACGAGAAAATTCCACAAATTGAACCATTAATGAAAAATTTAAGCAAAGTAATTTTACTAGTAAACCAAATTGGAAAAGAATTAGGATTAAATGGCTAAAAATCCTGAAGTAGAAAATGTACAACAAATACTAACGATAGTTAGTGAAATAAAAGAAGTTGTTCTAAGAATAGAAAAAAATATACAACAGTCTAATTCTAGTAACCAAGACATTAAATTATTAGAAATAGAAAAAGTTTTACGAAATATTAAAGAAAAGAAGTCTATACCAACATATAGACCACCAAATGAATGGTATCTTAGTAATCTGTTTAAAAACGGAAGAAAAAGATTACCTGAAGAAAAATGAATAGTGACACAAATTCTACTCAAAGCGAAACTGATATTCAGTCTCTCTTAGACAAATATCAAAATATATTATCTTTAAAAGAATTCGTAGGAAATTACAGTAACTCTAGTTCAGAAAATGAAAATCTAGAACCAAAAGATCGTATAAATGTTAAAATTGAAGAAGATCTTAAGGATATTCCTCCAGGACCAAGTAATTATCTCATGAGTTCATGACTCCTGAAGAATATATGAACGATGAGTTCTATAATCCAAATGCAAATAGGTACTTTGGAGTATCTGATGAAGAAAAAACATTTCCAGAAATAAATATTCCAGGAATGATGGATATGAATCGAAGTAAGGCAAAACCTTGCAAGAAAAATAAAACAAAGAATTATATTCCGAAGGAATTTATACCCAAAGATAATTCTAATAATCACAGTGATAACATACTAAATCTAGATTGTTTGACAAAACCAGTTGAAACAATAAAAGGTTGGTATAATTATATGTTAGTAGTAATACAAACAAATAGAGAAGCATTTGAAGATCTAAGAACATTAAAAACTTATATAGAACTTCATATGAAGGGAAATGTTAGAAACTGGTAGGATTCAAACCCATATGTTCCAAGCCTTGATGCTCTTTGGAATAAACCAGAAGATAACGTAGAATATTTAAACGCTTTGGCTAAACTACTCGTTAATGAGTTTGTAGGAGTCAGAGAATTAGATAACACAAATGTAGTGTTCGAAGAAAGACAGAAAAAAGCAAAGTTCATACTAGACAATATTCAAATATGTGATATTTGTTATTGGAAAAACTTTACATGTGAATATAAAAAATGGTATTACTTGTTAAAATAAGAAGATAGACCAGTATATGCTGAAAAATACTTCAATAAGCTGCCACCATTGTGGGCTTTTGAAATGAACAAAAAATGGTCTAATAAACTTGATCATATTACAGAAGGTTTTGCAGGAAGAGTAAATTTTCTTAAAGAAACCATAGAAGATAGATGTAAAGATACTCGGTATTTTGGTAAATAGGTGTGTTTATATGATGTGCCGTTATAAATTATTTACGGTCACTGTTTCCTAGTGCGCTGGATTGATGACGTCCCCGAAATGAGCTCAGGAATGAATATTATGTCAAGTCCTGCAGGCGAATGTGTTATTCGGCATAATGATTAAGGATCTGAGTGTACTAGTTTCGGAAATGAATAAGAAGTTGATTAATTATTTTGTCAGTAATTTAATTAATCAACGGACGTTATATCTTAAACATGGGGAGATAAATCGATCAATTAGATTAATATATTTAATCAGTGGAGACGAGTTAATTGTATTTCAGAGCTAAATGGGGAAAGCAATAATATTACTCTAGTGGAATGTTTTATTATTTAATTCCAATATTATGAATTAGGAATTAATTATATTCCATATTTCCCTAAGGATGGGAATATTCCTTCTAGAATATTACCTAGGGTTACGAGACTATGAAGTCTTCTAGAAGGTAATTAAATATTAAGTATATTATCCTAGAAGGGAAAATGAAATGAAAGATAATAAGGATTCCTAAACCTAAAGGATTAAGCCCATATTTAGCACCTCCTTTAGGTCCCTATTGTAGCCTATATATACACAAGTCCCCTAGCCTCTTCAAGTGAAAAAGAAAGAGAGAGATTCATCGAGAGAGAAAATTCGGTTAGCACCGTAAGGTCTTAGAAGAAGATGATCGAGAAGCTTTGGGAGATCTAATAAATCGCTCCACCAAGATTTATTAGAGATCCTCTAAA